TTATTCATATAATGACATATAAGTCCATAATCGATTATCCCCTGGTCTGCGTCGGTAATAACGCACATCAGTCACGTGTCCCGGGCAACATGGTCGACTCTACATTTCTATATACAAGTATGTGTCTGCATTTGTACCGGGATTTCCTATCAATTAAAGCCCATGCGAAATTAAGTCCAAGGGCCCAAAATTGGGCCTAATATTTGAAAGGTGTTGTTCGTTTAAGACTTTTGATCTTGTAAGATATAATAGAAGTTTCTTGTGACCTTAAAACCAGAAAACATTTTGAGTTCTTGAAAACTTATCCTTTTATGGTTACAGTTCTGTGTTCTTTTAAACGAATTAAACATTAAAGGTCAGTAAATAATTATTGTTTGCATGTGTTTTCCATTCAATATGTGCAATTCCAGAATTTAAGACCTGGGCTTAAGTATGGTTTTATAATTTGAATACCAAAGGGGTTATTTTTCATTATTAACGGGGGCTTAAATACGTGATTTCCCGGTTCTGTCAGTCAGCTTGGTATTCCGGGTGATGGTGTACGATGGACCGCGAGCAGGATGTGCTCATCAGCTCTACTCACGTCATATCCGCTCATCATTGTTTGTGTTGCCTGTTCGGATATTCTGCTGGTTGTGTATTTGTTTTATGTTTACATGTTGAGTATTAAACGTTCGGGAACAGTCGATGTCGATGTTGTCTTTGTTTCTCACAAGAGCTGGTTGGCCTGTAATTTATGAGCCGTCCACATGCAAAAAATACAAAAATGAATATTAAAAAGAGTACATCGGGATACCTTCTGCTGATTCAAAATCTTTGACGAGGGCGAGACAAAGACCACGGGCTGCATGGAGACAACCGAAGTCAGTGACATGTGAATCAGACCAGATAATCGAGGGATTGACATCATGAACATCGAACACCTGACACTAGGTATTTCTGAGAATAGCAACAACTGATTTCACTAAAGGAATCCCTGGAAAGACGCTTTCTACCATTTAAGGAACCCTACGAGCGACAGTATTTTGCAGTATTACGGCAGGGGATTCCAAACACGGGCATTGAGCATTGTCTCTATGTGGGGAATCGAATCCGGGTCTTCGGAGTGAGCTTTATCCCTAGCCCACCACACCGACCAACACTAGGATGACGTCACTACAGCTTAAAGAGAATTATGTTTAACCCAGACCTACATTCGATCATCAAAACCAATACTAGATGTGAAGGTTCAAGAATATCATTCGGTTGATGGAAAGCGATAAATTTAAAATTATACATTCACCAAGATTTCCGTATAAAGTTAACGTTTATCGCCAATTTTTATAGTTTAGTATTCCAGCATTAACGGCGGGCTGTAAGTAAGTCTGGATCAGGCAATGCAGTGATTGACATCAGGATCGATCTTCGCAAATGGATTGAGTGAGTTTAGTTTTACGTCGCCAAAATTCCAGCAATATCACGGCGTGGGGACACCAGAATGGGCTTCACACATTGTACCCATGTGGGGAATCGAACCCGGGTCTTCAGCGTGACGAGCGAAAGTTTTAACCTCTAGGCTACCCCACCGCCCTCGCAAATGGAATACTTTTACATGTATCAACCAAGTCAGTGGACCATACCACCCGATCACTGCTTAAGTCAAGCATTGTTGCTGAAGACCAGTTATGATCCGAATCTTTATGTTTGGTTGTTATCATAAACAATAGTATGTGTATAACTCACAGCAGGAGTATAATGACGGCGATAATGACAGAGGGTGTTGCTATGTAATCCAGAGCGTCTTGTAGCCAATCAGGGAGGTTTCCCACACGTGAGGCGATGACGTCAATAACATGCCGCTCCAGCTGAAACGGACCGCAGTCATTTGAAGTCTGAAAAGTGAGTAAGTGAGGCTTTTGGGTTTAACGCCGCCTTGAACAGTTTTCAAATGATATCACGGTGTGTGTGCTTTGTGTGGGAGGGAAGCCCGAAGTTGGCAGGTCTAAGACATTCACCGCTTTGAGGACCCAAGAGGTCGAGCAACATGCTTGCGGCGAACTGGATTTTGAAGTGCATACAAAAATCCCACTACACCTTATATAGTGTATAAAAATCATAGAATTCAAACGCTTGCCAAGTGTTCTTGCGTATCTGTCTGTGTAAATTATGTACATCTTATCATGCATGCTTGCCAAATTGGCATTAAGTTCGGATCCGAGTTACCGTTGTCATACGTTCAGGGTGTGTATCTTTCAATGAGCCGGTGATCAAGTTAATTTCGGATTTCGTCGGTATCCGAAATATTGAGCAAGGGTTCTGAGCAAGGTGCCGAGTACCGATACCTGGGATCCGAAGTTACAGATTTTGACATCCTGAAGGAAGTGGATCCGATCGATGTTGAATCCCGCACCCCTCTGGCCGATGGATCCGATCTTAAAGGCGGTTTGCTGCCCATTTCCCAGTTTTCAAGGTTCAGAACGCGTGATTTTTATGAAGAAAAAAACTACACGGCCTGGTGTGAGGAAAAACTGCTATGACGTCATCTATATATATATATATATATATATATATATATATATATTATCATATATTTTTCTCTGGTGATAAGGTTTATTACACTCCCAACATGAAACTAATGTAAAGATGCTGATGTTACCTTGAAAAATATTACTTCATACCTTGGCGAACCACTGAGTGAAAAATTCATACGTAGAGTCGATCCACCTCAAAATCTACAACCATTTCGGCCAAGCGGTGGTTGCAGATTTAGCAGTAAATATTATGTCATGCTGGAAACTATTCAAATTATTATGGATACGGTGTGTATTTCTACTTCAATGAGTTGTGCGTGCATCTGTATAATTCAATGGCCCCCGCCGTTTCTGAACCGAATTTAGGGTCGATCCAATCGATTTCTGAACACCGGAAAAGTCACAATGTATTTTTTGGCAGATTTGTTGTTATGTTTTCGTCTTCATTTGAAAAAGATGGGGTTTTTGTTTATATTTTCATGTAGAACATGTGGAATTGTGAACATCCAGCATAAATCTTCCCCGGTCAGCTCAGGCGAAATTCACCGTTCGGATCCCATCAGGTGCACCAATAACCAGCAATCATGGGTTCGAATCTCGGTTCGCCTTGAATGTGATTCGATGTTTGAATGTGTTCCGAGTCGGTGAGGCTTTTTGGCTGATAATCCTAGAGCACACAAGTAATTTACATGGTCCCTAATGTGGTAGTTCCCTAAATGTAGTCTATGACGACGTCCCCACGGACACTCAAGAACACTAAATGGCAAGTAACTAAACGTTCTCTATGACGGCGTATCCCAGGGGGAAGAGAGCGAAGAAGTGGAATAAACATGAGTGAGCGAGTGAGTTTAGTTTTACGCCGCACTCAGCAATAATTCAGCTACAGGGCAGCGGTCTGTGAATAATCGAGTCTGGACCAACAGACAATCCAGTGATCATCAGCATGTGCATCGATCTACGCAATTGGGATACGATGACATTTGTCAAACAAATCAGAGAGCCTGACCACCTGATCCCCGTTGGAGCGAAACAAGACATTTGTCCTTCACTGCATGAAGACCAATTCTAACCCGGATCTTCACGGATTAGAAAACCTTTCTTGGCGCCACGTGGGAGCAATGACATCCTGGAAGTAGAAGAGGATAGCAAGTTTGACCACGCCCACCAGTGCCAGGAATGGACAGAAGTAGAGACAGGCCAGAGCGTGACCACCAGAAACTACGTCCATCTCGCAGTACTGTGAACAAAGAGCCAACACACGTGTGGGTGAGACGTGCTGTGCAGAATGTGGATAAAAGGGTGTCCTCATGAATGAGTGGGTTTAGTCTTAGGCCGCTTTCAGCATTATTCCAGCAATATCCGGGCAGGAAACACCAAATATATATGTGGGGAATCGAACCCGGGTCTTTGGCGTGACAAGCGAACGCTTTACCCACTAGGCTATCCCACTGCCCTGTACTGATATGTGGTTGATAGCGTGTGTCCTTGAACTGAAGAGAAATGAGGTTAAAAAGGTGTCATCACTGGCATAGTAGTGTACTCACAAGTGGAAGAAATTGTTTTAACTTAAAGAATTCAATTTATTTAGACGGTGTCCTAGGGTTGCATAGACCTGTGTCAGTTCCCATGTTATACGCATGTGGTTGGACGGATGTCCAAAATGCATAGTGATATGCACGTGTGTAAGTGAGAGGATGTCCACATGTGGGATAGACGGTGTCAGGTGTTCATCAGACATTTGGTTAATAGGGTGTTCTAATAGGCAAAGTGTTGTCCACGTGTGTTGAGACGATGTCCCAGCAAAGTACACACACGTGGGTGAGACGATGTCCTGGCATAGTACACATATGTGGGCGAGACGATTTCCTAGCATAGTTCACATGAGGGTGAGACGATGTCCTAGCATAGTTCACATGAGGGTGAGACGATGTCCTGGCATAGTTCACATGAGGGGGAGACGATGTCCTTGCATAGTACACATGAGGGTGAGACGATGTCCGAGCACAGTACACATATGTGGGCGAGACGATGTCCTGGCATAGTACACATATGTGGGCGAGACGATGTCCGAGCATAGTTCACATGTGGGCGTGACGATGTCCTGGCATAGTACACATATGTGGGTGAGACGATGTCCGAGCATAATTCACATGAGGGTGAGACGATGTCCGAGCACAGTACACATATTCTACTGGAATAAAGTAACTGTGCATTATTTGATGTTACGCCATTTTTAATGCAAAAAGATTACAACATGATTTGTGGTGTTTTCCTAAATCACTGTTTAACTGGATAATATCGAAATTTGTATGATTTAACACTAGATATGGTCACACGCTCTTGGAGAGTTGTGTTGTCAAAAGTCAGTTCACAAATTCAGTATAGTGTGTGTCCACCATTGGCGTTGATGCAGGCTTGGTAACGACAACACACAGCGATTGAAGAAAGCTTGGGTAATGTTGTTCCATGTCTGAACCAACGCTTGTCCCAATTCAGATAACGTCAATGGCTGATTCTGGGCTTGACGTAAACGTCCTTCCATTTCTTGTGGCCAACTGAGTCAGCGAGTCTGACCAATCGTAAGTCGACTCTAACGAGCATGGGTTGATTCTAGTGTGGACAGAGCTGGCAAGTCAACCAATGGCAAACGAGTTAATGGAACAGGGCAATCCTATGTCGACTGCAACAACGAATCTATAAATAGAAAAGGCATATTACTGCACATATCCACAAAACAGTAATTCACGTTTCACCCGGGTTGTGAGCGAGTGAGTTGGGTTTTTCGCCGCTTTTAGCAATATTCTAGCAATATCACGGCGGGGACACCAGAAATGGGCTTCACACATTGCACCCATGTGGAGAATCGAACCCGGGCAATCGGCTGGCTCCAGTATAGGGGTCAGGGTTTCAAGGTGAAGTACTGTTTTTTACAGCTCGGCATCGTGAACATTTCCCCAAATTGCAACAAATGGCTGCTGTCTTAAAACTCACAACCTTGAGTGAGTGAGTTTAGTTTTGCGTCACTTTGAAACGTATTCCAGCAATATCACGGCAATATGGTGGGGGACACCAGCAATGGGATTCACACATTGTACCCATGTCGGGAATCGAACCCAGGTCTTTGGCGTGACGACCGAAAGCTTTAACCACTAGGCCTCCCACACGCCCCTGTGCAAGTCTTTAAGCGTCATCTATCTTCAATAATCTAGTACAATATGGTTATGTTCCATATCTGGTCTTTCCGTGGATTTTAGTATACATTTGATTAACGTGGGCAATTGACCGAACTTTAAACTTGTTGTATTACCTTAACCTGGGTTAACACATGGACAATTCAGCTGTTCAGCCAGGGAAACTTCAATCACCTGCGTAAGAAAAGAGTCAACGACGATTATTTGTACGATTTTAAAAGGTAGGTGGGTTACAAAAAATGATTTTAAAGTACATCCTTTTGTGGATCGTTAACTATCAGTCAAAGAATAATGGAAATCCTCGAAATAAACATTATGCGTCAATAAATAATTCTGCACCCAGGGGCAATAATATCCAGGGACCCTATCCACAATGCGTTTGTAGCTTTCCGTCATTCGTATACCAATGGTGTAGTATAGAGCTACGACATGTCGTAACGTTACGAAGGCTTTGTGGATCGGAATATACACAATCAAATGCACAGATGTCATGCCAAACTTGTAAATTTCTTTTCATTTATTTCAGATTTGCCCTGCATTATTTAAGCAGTCTCACATTAAAAGGCCATTTTGTTATTGTATTATAAGCATTTCATAGTAACACTGAGACCAACGTTGAAGCACAACATTAAAACTGTTAGAAATAGCTTGCTATCAGGTTTTACATTTGCATTTTCAGACCTAGTTTACTGAACTATAATTTGTACCTATAGCCTTTCACTTTGCATCAAATCGTGATTTCACAGGATACAGGTAAAACAAATCAAAGGGCGTGAATCATGCCTGCAAGTCCTTCTTTCATGCTCAGACCGCCTCCGTGGTGTAGTGGTTAGAGCGTCCGCCCGGAGTGCGAAGGTCGCGGGTTCGATCCCCGACCGCGTCATACCAAAAGACGTTAAAATATGGACAAGCTTACCCTTTTCTCGAACACTACCACTTGCATAATATTGACTAATAAGCTACTAACACCTGGATACGGATATGTGTTCAAAATGTGAAAATCTTAACAATAAATAGAATGAGTAACTGTGGTTTATATTTCAAAAAGTAATTGAAAGAAAAACTAAAACATGATCGTTACACAACATTTTGCAGTAAAATAACCATTCCCATATGATTGTGGCTATAACTAAATCTAGTTTCAACAATGTCTTCATTCTCTTGCAGCTATTCAGGTTTACTATTTGGTTTTACCAACACAATTGCTACTATACCCGGGATGATAGCCCCACTTGTAGCTGGGGCTCTCACACCAAACGTAAGTATGGTTGTTTTGTTGTTAAACGCCCGACAATATTCCAGATATGTGTCAAACTGTAAAATATTGTAGCTTGGATCAAACAATACACTGATTCCTATTGGGAACCTATCCCAACATTGACCACAAGGAATACATATGTATTTTCAACCGTGAAGATCCGGGATGGAATTGGTATTCAGCAACCCATGCTTGTCCTTGTTTTGTACAGACCGCCTCCGTGGTGTAGTGGTTAGAGCGTCCGCCCGGAGAGCGGAAGGTCGCGGGTTCGATCCCCGATCGCGTCATACCAAAAAACATTAAAATACGGTACTTGTTGGTCCCTGCCTGGTGCTCGGCATTAATGGGTACAACAAGGAATGTTCGGCTCGGAGTCAGTATAATGTGTCTGAGTGGGGTATTCATGCTTCACTGCGGCATGGTATCTCAGTGGGCTAGCACTATAAAACCAGCTTAAGTCTGGGCTAGTACAAGCAGCCGCACATACACATACACACGCATGCACGTCGTCATATGAGCGAAATATTCTCAAGCACGACGTAAAACCCAATTTAAACTCACCTCTTTCATGCTCAGTACCTTAACGCACGGTTTTCCCATCGGATGCCAGGACTTCAATTGTCTGCATGTTGCACGTGGTCTTTCGCCCGCTCGCCGGCTACAACCGAGTTGTTTAAAGTTGAAGGTATACTGACGTGTCTTTTTCTCTCTGGTACATATAGTCCGTCACAGACCCTGAAACAAAATATATCCAAGAAAGCCAATTCTAGATTACCACGAAATGAAGATCTCTGGGCTTCTTTTCATTGCATTTTCTTACTGTAATTTAGGAACTGTATTTTCTTGTAATGAGCGAGTGAGTGAGTATGGTTTTACGCCGCTTTTAGAAATATTCCAGCAACATCACGGCGGGGGACACCAGAAATGGACTTCACATATTATACCCATGTGGGGAATCGAACCCGCGTCTTCAGCGTGAAGAGTGGACGCTTTAACCACTAGGCTACCCCACCGCCCCTATTTTCTTGTAGAAACTACTTGTTATGGTTATGGTTATGATATTGGTTTGGATGAAAACGTGAAACCTCGAGCCAATTCCTTCGCTTTAGGTTTTTCATCTTTAACCAAACCCTCAGAATCTGCTGTAACTAAAGCATTGCCCACATAATAAATTAGAATCGTTTGAATAGTTAACAGACCAATGTCATGTTCCGCTCCAACGGGGATCGGGTGGTCAGGCTCGTTGACTTGGCTGACACATGTCATCGTATCCCAATTGCCAAAACCGATGCTCATGCTGTTGATCCCTGGATTGCCTGGTCCAGACCCGATTATTTACAAACCGCCGCCTTGGAATATTGCTGAGAGCGGGGTAAAACTAAACTCGCTCACTCAACGCTGATAGCTGTATTGACTCATGTTTTGTTGCGGGGATGGTCTCTGCTGTTTCCTTGCTCCCGTCACACGTAATGGACGATTCCCTCTTCAAGCCATCGTACGGAAAAGGACGAGTAGTTCCGAATGGGCATCGGACTCGAAAAAGCTGGCTTCTGATTGGCCGAATGTGTTGCGCACAAGGCAACAGGGGCATCGGGCAACACAGATCTCGCTGAGCGTCCAGGTCTTAGCACGGATTTTGACGAGCACATTTTACACGAGGTTTCCCGGAGTGATCGTGGTTTTACGGCGATTTTAGCAATCTTCCTGTACTATCACCGCCTTGTTTGTTTGTTGATTAATGCCGCACTCAGCGATATTCCCGGTATATGGCGACGTACACGATAACATATGTTAAATAAATATAAATAAATCGAGTCTGGAGCAGACAATCCAGTGATCAACAGTATGAGCATCGATCTACTCCATTCTGATACGATGGCGTCCACCACCCGATCCCGATAGTCGCCTCTTACGACAAGCATGAGCTGCTGAAGACAAATTCTAACCCAAATGTGGCTGTATGGAGTGAGTGAGTGAGTTTAGCTTTACTCAGCCATATTCCAGCTATATGGCGGCGGTCTGTTACAAGTTACAAATAATCGAGTCTGGCCCAGACAATCCAGTGATCAACAGCATGAGCATCGATCTACGCAGCCGGGATGCGATGACATGTGTCAACCAAGTGAGCGAACCTGACCATTTGATCCCTTACAGGCATGGGTTAATGAAGATCAATTCTAACCCGGATCTTCACGGGTACAAGCATCGACAGACGTACATGCATGTCACTAACTGTGCTTAAACACAGGTTCGTGATGTCAAAAAGACGTATTTACATGAAAAGGCAGTACATGCTCGAAGGTGGTCAGTACAGGGAGATCTTGGTATGAAAATATTGTGGCACCGGAAGGAACTAAAGGTAACAAAAAGGCACCAAAAGGGGGTCGATGTCCTGCGGGTGTGGAAAGGATGGTTGTTGTATTTGGATATTGTGGCACCTGAAGGAAATAATGGTAACAAAAAAGGCACCAAAAGGAGGTCGAGGTACACAGTCGGCGTTATCTTACATTTATCAGTTTCCAGAGTATCGGATACAGAACTGACTGCCGCGGACCTCCCGACTGATCCAGCACGTGGAACCGTTATATACCTGTCTCGTCTCCCGAGTACTGCGCACTGGCATCAACATATCCATACCCACCACATTTCGCTGGTAAATAATTCACTTGGACGCAGCATTCGTTACAAAATCTGTGAAGGCACAACAGCTGATTTCTGTAGATTTGTGTAACGGTGGAAAACAGTGAACGGTGACTTACTATGCAGTTATTCTGTGCTGTATGTTGAAACTGTTAATGGCATATTTAGGGGAGCAGAAATACATACAAACAGGTTAACAGTCACTCGCGGCGCCAGCGACGTGCATATGTATGCTGAGCGCTGACTAACAGAAGCAGCTGCTGAAGCCGGTATGTGGAGATTCGGTACAACTCGGGTGAACCCGGTTTCCCTTTTTCGGCAACCCTCGGGAGCGTTCGGTGAAACGGTCGGAGGCCCAGAGTTCCACCGTGAGGGCAGCATTTCGTTTATGTGTTTCAGTAAGTCACCGTGATCCTAAGTTGAGTCGGTCGGTCGGTTTAAAATAAAGAAAAAAACAATTCTCCCGAACGTGGTCGGGTCGTCAGGATCGGTGTCCAGAAATTACGCGTAGTCGAACTCAAGTCAAGAATGATTGGACAAGTCAAACTTGCCGCAGCTCTGACAAAGAATTGTTTGGGGCTCTTGCTGGGTTTAATTTTTGAGTGTGTAGATACACATTTTTAAATAGGTTAACATTATGTCTGGATGAAATGTCAGTGTTTTGTGACAAACGCGTTTGGAGAATAACATGAACATTTATTAGCGTAGAAATGTATTTACCAACGATGAAGGGTCTGGAGAATGCTACCATCTCAACTGCAGAAAAATTGGTATCAATGTGGAACTTTGGAGATTCGAAAAAGGGTGGGTGAGTGAGTTGGGTTTACGCCGCTTTCTGAGGTTTGCTGTATCAAAGAGTGAGTGAGTATAGTTCTTCGCCGCTTTTAGCCACATTCTAGAAATATCACAGCGGGGAACACCAGAAATGGGCTTCACATATTGTACCCATGTGGGGAATCGACGGGCGAAGGCTTTAACCTTTGGCTACCCCGCCGCCCCTACATAATATCAAGACTTGCAGTCTGTGAAGTTCGTTATGTCGCCCTGAATATCCAGTCAAGCTTGTTTTGGAAGCTTTAACCCCACGGATACCCAACCGCCCCTGTATATTCCAGCAATATCACAGCGGAGAACACCAGAAATTGGCTTCACATATTGTACCCATGTGGGGAATTGATGAGCGAAGGCTTTAACCTTAGGCTACCCCGCCGCCCCTACATAATATCAAGACTTGCAGTCTGTGAAGTTCGTTATGTCGCCCTGAATATCCAGTCAAGCTTGTTTTGGAAGCTTTAACCCCACGGATACCCAACCGCCCCTGTATATTCCAGCAATATCACAGCGGGGAACACCAGAAATTGGCTTCACACATTGTACCCCTGTGAGGAATCGAACCCGGGTCTTCGGCGTGACGAGCGAACGCTTTAACCACAAGGCTACCCAACAGGCCCGCGTGTCTTTGCGAGGATTAAATGATTTAAAAAAAATACATGTATATAAAAAATTGAGATGACCCCCAACTCATAATACTTCACAGTACAATACATGACTGTCATTCATACAGTACATCATGACTGTCATTATTTTTGTACTGTGAAGCATTTCGAGTAGGGGGTCATCTCAAAAACAATATTATTTAAATTTTGATCCTGGCAAAGACACGAGGGCCTGTGGGCTACCCCACCACCCAAGATTGACTACCAACCTAACTTAGGAACATCCATAACACCTTACCTCTGACGATTGGGATATTCCCGACATGGAGTAAACATGGTGTTCGTGGTCCTGGTATGCTGTCCCATAAAGTCAGCCGGAGTACTGTCTCAGCATATCCTTGTCGTTCTGTGAATTAACTTAACATTCTGTCTCCTTCAGCAATGACAAACGTGACTGCGCCTGCTCGTGCATTTCGCACCTTCCAAGCTTGACCCACTTTCAGTTACCAACTGTGTCTCAAAACATGTCGTCTGTCTCACAGTCCCTGAACCACATTGTTGCTGAGCCCTCCAGCCCTTTCTGCAATGTTAAAGCCTTAATATAGCAGTCTCACATCCAGTGTGTGAAATAGTTTCCCAATGTTTGTTAGCCAGTAGGGCCAGCTATACCCGGAAGTTACTAGCCCACAAAATAATTCACTAGTTCGAAATGTGAATGAATAAACTAAACAAACAATTACAAAAAGGTAAAATATCAAAAATAAATAAGAAAACATGAAATTTTGTTTATGCTCAAATAACTTAAAAAGGTTATACATGAATACCCCATACCAAATGAAAATTCACAGGCCAGTCGGGTCAGTGACTGTCGATTTACTGGACTGTTTCTTTACTAGCCACGAGCCTGCGGGCTAGCAGCTATTTCGCACACTGCTCCCATCTCATTGTAGCTCCTTTTCATTTTAACGCCTTTTGGGACGCAATTATTTATTTCTATAAAGATTATATACTGGACAAAATAAGTTAGGGATATTGGTATTTTTATGATTTATATTCGGGTTCGATTCTCTACATGGGCACTAAGTTGAAGCCAATTTCTTGTGTTCCCCGCAGTTATATTGCTGGAATATTGCTAAATGTGGTGTAAAACTAAACTTCTTTAAACTGTTGTAATGATCTCATTAGATTTCTCAGACAGATTTATTTCGTAGAGTGGCCATGAGGCCAAAAGTACAGTGACATTTTTACATCATGTTCTTTGGAGCGCTGGCATGAGAAGTACACTGGCATTTATAAGTATCATAAAACGTTCTGGATTTTGTTTACAAATATTGCTAGGCGTAAAATAACATTTGCATTTTGGGTATTAAGTAAATTTACAAACTTCTGTACGTTGGGATTTACACAATAATATTGTGGTACATACCTGATGCGTAAATCAGAAAAAAACAGGACATTGTAATAGAACATGGTACTCGTCCTGGACAAAACTGACGCAATGAGCGCACATGGCAGAACGGATATCATCTTTGGATCTTCTGTAGGTTTGTACATTCAGTTTACTGATGCCACATCTAAATTTTGTAAGAGATCTGCGGAGTTGAATAGAGGATAATACTTCTAAATATGTTTCATGGACAATGTCATGTTTAAATAGTGAATATGCATACAAATATTTGGAACTTGCAATATCGGATGACCATTCTTGGTAAAAAATATCTCTACAACTGTTTGGTGGATCCATACATGTGCATAACCGTATTAAAATAACAATGTTCTAACTGAGGAGGTCCAGTTAGTATCTCCATTATCATCGAGATTTTTCATCATATTATAGCAACGTTTAGAGTGTCTTGTGGCTGGCTGGCTAAGTAGTCGTAACCAGTCATTCGTCACCACTCGCCCCTTTCCATAACCTCCAAGAAGACCCGTCCCCCTCTCGTTATGTGCGAAAATACGACAAACCAATCAGAACGCGCGTAAATGACTGCGGTGCTTTGATACAAATAATCCTAACTGCTTAAATCGTTTATGGCATTATGTCATTGTTTAAAAAATCAAGCAAAATATATATCGTCATATTGAAAGTACAAAGAACTTAGCTAACAGGATTTGCTGCCTGGTATGAAGTTTTCGATAAGAATCATGCGATTGACGGTGAGAGATTCAAATACACGCACGTGCGTTTGTTGACATTACGGCTCTCATGTTTCCAACTGAGGGTATTTCTGACGATCTTGCGGGCTTGCAATGGAGATTGTACGTGCGATTCCAACAATTTTAGGAAAAGTAATTATAAATCGCTACGAGTTTCAAAATAATAATATTAGACATATATCTGCATGTAACTAATGAACTTTAATCTTTAACATAGGGCATATGTTTCACATCTTTGGGAATACATGTACTTTAATCTGACTCTTTTTTTTAGGTCATTCATATATTTTTCAGCGAATTCATTCAAAATTCCACTTGGGGTATGACAGCAAGGTTACACAGCTTGAGAAATATTTTGAAATCATTTTTGAGTTTCTGCTTTGGGATTTAATGTAGCTTTAATAAATGTTATTTACATATTTAATAAAACAGATCCCATTTGTGATTATCAAACCCTATTTAGAAATATAATTGGAAACATAAGGTGAACATCTGGTAATATTTACGTCAGAATGTAACAAATAAGTTTTTCTCCTTTTATTTGTATCACAAAGGTTTAATTCTTTAAAAACATAAACAGCAATACAATGTATGATTACTTCGGTGATATTAAGTACCATTGGAATCAAACAAGAATAGAGTTATCGTTCCTGTTTAAAGTAGTTCTGATGTTCATGCGCCAATATGAAATCCTTCCAGAGGGGCACGAGTCGCTATTCGGCTTGTCCCGGAATAACACGAGTTGGTCACGAATGGTTACCAGTATGATATAACTCTTGTTTTATAATTGACTTGGAGTGGATATCTTCCACATTCCGCTAAAACAGCTTTATAAGAAGAGCGATAACCAACTCCTAGGACAAATTTGCAAAAAGAGTGGACTTTTTCAATGTTATGAGGATACATTGTTCCCCAAATTTCTGAGCCATAGAGCAAGATTGGTTGAATTTTGCCATAAAAAATCTTAAGGCATGTATCTCGGGGAAGAGATTTAAATCGACATATGTTTTTGATAGGATATAACGCCTTCTCGGCTTGTTTACATAGAACCTCACAAGCTCTTGAAAACAGGTTCCGGCATGAAAACACTATTCCGAGATATTTGTAATAGGAAACAGATTCCAGTCTTTCAGAGCCAATAAACCATTTTTCATTTTTGGAAAGTCCACCACCTTTTTTAAATACAACAATCTTAGTCTTTTCGGTATTAATCGACAGTCCCCAGTTTTGGCAATATGATTTAAGAACATCTATTTTCTTCTGCAAGTTTATGACACTATCTCCAAATATGGCGACGTCGTCTGCAAATAATAAGATAGATAATGCATCTACAGTTTCATCAATGAATGCACCACTGTATTCGCTATTCACAATATCGTTTACGAGTTCCTCTGTATATAGAATAAATAAAAGACCGTATACAACCCTGTCGGACTCCGGCTGTCGACTTAAATACATCTGTCATAGCCTGCTTACTGCATTTCACAGCTGCTCTCACATTCAAATACATATTGCGAAGCAGAGAGGTTATTTTGCCATGTAAATCATTATTCAAAAGAACATACATTAATTTATTCCTATCAGTGTCGAAGGCTTTTTTTTGAAGTCTACAAATATACAGTAAAATTTGCCACGTTTTTTTCTGATGTATTTATGAATTATTGAGATAAGTATGAATATCCGTGAGAATATCTGTCAATTGTACTGTAATTGTTTCGAAAGCCAGCTTGTGACTCAGTAGTTCTTTGGTTGATATCCAGAATTTTATACGCGTATCAAGTACATGTATTGATGTAAAAACTTTATTAATAATATCTAGAAGCGCTATTCCCCTATAATTATTAGGATTATCTCTATTTCCTGTCTTGTGCAATTTCCCCGTATTAAGAATTTCATTGAAAAGAGGTTTATAGAAAGGTGACAATACATGACACGTAGCTTTGCTAGCCTCCGCCGGGATACCATCTTCCCCAGGGGATTTACCGTTTTTCAAGTTATGAACGGATTTTCTAATTTCTTCCTCCGTAATTTCATCACGCAACATATGGTCACAGTCTTTACATTGGTCGCAATTTGTAACATCATGGTTATCGATAAAGTGTTTTGCCTCATCATCAAAGTGGGATTTATGGTCGCTATGTGGGTTGGGCAGTGAACTGAAATATTCAAACCAGTTATCAGCTGATATATTACAACAACTGAGTTTCAATTCGCCGGGTTTCCTTAATAGCCTTCCAAAAGTCTTTACATATATTGCTCTTTGCTGCATCTAAGATTTTCAATATCTGTCTCATAACTCATATGTGGTTGCATAGCTTTTTAAAGTCTCGTTTTGCATCGAGATACTCTGTACAATCGGCTCGGCTGTCGCTCTGAATCTATCGAGAAGTGTATACTTTCGGCGTTTTAAAATTTTCACAATAATAATCTCATTACATTCTTTTGTGTAATGTCATTATGGCTAGACTTCGAAAAGGTATACCTCAAACAAAGTGAGGCTTACAGATAAATGCAATGCAGAATGTACATGATCAGTGGTTATGTCCTTGATAAATGCCGATGTCAATTCAAATATTATATTTTGTGCAAATGCAGTGCTTCATATAACGTCTAACTGATTCTACTGGACTAATCCATTGTAAGAAATAGGTATCAGCTTGAGGATTAGTTGTGCATTGCTGTTTTGGGAGGTCACTATTTGAAAGATTCACGGTGATGTTGCTGAATGTAGCGTGAAACTCGCATGGTCAATTGTACAATCGGGTGTTTCTATTCACCATGCCCCGCCGTGATGTTCCTGGAATAATGCTAAAAGCGGCGTAAAACCAAACTCAGTCAGTCAGTATTCACCATGCTCCAAATTAGTATAGATGCTGTAAGGAAAATAAATACGTTTTTCACTAGATTAATTACTATCGTTCCAGGTTTCTTCGAAGCTGGGGCAACGGCAGGCTTGCTCAACTTGACTTTCCTGTTTTGGGAACCGATGACTAGGCAAATGTCGACACGGAATTAAAAAGCACGTAAATAGTTGAGGCAAGAATTTATTGTATGTGGTTTCAGCGGGGATGAGAATTGGACAGATTTTTCTCAAGACTCGTCTGACAGTAGTGCCAAAGGATCTGCGAAACATCTGGAATGAAAAATATTCTTTGGATCAAATCGAAACAGTACATCTATAAATGTGCTTTTCAGATGTAATAAAGCGAACTCTCCATATGTATCTTTTCTGTAATATATGCAAGTCTCAATGTGCAGAATTTATTTGGAACAGACAACTCAACTTCTATTCCCGACATTGTAATATGGAGCTCCCATATGTTCGACTTGTGAAATAAACAATGTTTATTCAGCTAAAAAGTAAGTTACACGGTTTTTAGACTAGGAAGTAAAACACAAGCAGAAATAGGCTCTTCAATACAAAGGAAACCCGAATTACATCAACTGCTCTTAAAAAACACAATATAAAATGTATCCCCCCAAAAAAAATTGTTTTAATGTTTCTATTTTAACATCTACCGATTCAGTGTGATCTTTACTCACTTTCTAGTTATTGTCCGGACGAACACTACTCACTCCTGAAGCCACCTTCTGTGGCGGAAAGACAAACGGGAATTCCTGCAAAATAGACATGAAAGAATCAATCCCTTAGATGTCTGAATAAAACAAAAGAGTTATATTAATTTCTAACTGAAAGAAATTTATCTTTATTTTTAATGGTCTCTCTAACAGATTTAATACAAGCTATTTTTATGATAGAAACTTAACCAAACCTGAAGAGGTTTTCAATTCTTTGAAGAGAGTCGTCCTTGGGGTACATATATGCATTTTCTCCGCTGAAAATGTCCTGTGACAGTTGTATCAATGTTTTTTAATAAAAATATTGTACAATAAATAAAAATCTTTTTATTTATTATACGGCCCCCACCTCGTGGAGTTACCTCCCGTTGCGCATGCGCAGCCAACTGGGTAAGCACCTAGGCCCGTATCATCATTCCTTCTGCTGAATAAATCAGTGAACAGAATTGCGGGGAGGCGGGAGGCCCTACCCCAAGGACGACTCTCTTCAAAGAATTGAAAACCTCTTCAGGTTTGGTTAATTCTTTTTCATAGAGATCGTCCTTGGGGTACATATATGCATAAACACAGACTCCCAAAGACCGGAGGCCAGGGAGGAGGGAATTCTGTCAAAGTACACACAAATAGCGATCGTTAAGAATAATGTAACATACGCCATAATCACTCACCTGTCACATGTCCCGGTTTGAGCTTCCGCGAGAGGCATGATGGGAGGGTAACCGACAGGGAGGAAAGGTACTGAGAGTCGACCTCGCAGGTTAGCATAATGAGAACGCACGTCGTGCGAACGTAAACAAACCCCACCCACCTTATGGTCTATAGAGAGCACCGTAGGGGGGAAAAAACACTCACTACCGACCATAATCTCCGTAGAGAATCGAAAGGAGGTTATACACCCAGCAGCGGACATGTCAGTAAAACACAATATTGAACAGCAGCGTCAACTAAACCAGATAACCAAGACTCACTCGGTCAGGGTGGCAGGACACTGTCCACTGGAGAGAACAGAACGGCCAAAGCTCGCACGATTACGTGAATGTGTATCGAGCTAATAGTGCAGGATAAAAGTGCTAGGCCGGCTCCAAATAGCGGCAGAGCATATCTCTTCAATGGGGAGTGCCGATGCAAAAGTGCCCTTAGCCTGATACGCAGCACAAATGACAGAGACAAGCCAGCGAGACAGGGTCTGTTTGCTCACCGGCACCCCAGCCTTCCCGCCATCGTAACAGCAGAACAGCTGGGTACCCGTACGGATCCCTTGTGTTCGTTTGATATAGACCTTGAGAGTCTTTCGGACATCCATCGGGTGAGTGCTCGTAGGAGAGGTCCCCGATGTGGAAGGCTGGGTAAGAGTAGGAAGTTCGATAGGAGCTGTCACATGGAAAGCGTGATCGACCTTCGGGTGGTAAGTATCCGGGAGGCGAATACTGACACGATCAGTGTGGAACACAGTCAGCGCCTGTCGTCAGGGTCTGACGACATAGCATGTAAGTCGCCAACCCTACGCCCAGATGTTACCGCCACCAGAAATACAGCCTTCCATGTTAACAACTGAATGGAAATAGCCGATAGACGTGAGAACGTAGGACCGGACAGCCAATCTAGCACGATTAACAAATCCCAAGGTGGCCTGGTTCGCCTGACAGCAGGTCGAACCTGATCCGCGGCAGCTAAAAAAGCGCTGTACGAGAGGGTGCTGCCCCAGAAGAGCACCATCGACAGGGGTGTGAAAGGTGGAAATAGCAGTGGAGTAGCCACGAATGGTCGAAGCCACCAGGCCTTCTTCCAAACGAGCTTGCAAAAACTCCAATACTCGGACTAAATCCGCAGAAAAGGGATCTGCAATCCCCCTATCTGAACACCAGCGCGCATAGCGGGACCACCTATCCTCATACTGAACGTTTGTCGAATCCCGCCTCGAAGCCAGAATTGTGTCTGCAACTGCTGCAGTAATTCCGCGTGCTTCGAGGCTAGACCTGACAGAGGCCAAGCCACCCACTGAATCCTTGGATTGGGGTATAGCGCGCCGTTCTGAGTGCGCCGGTCGCAAAGGTAATAGAACAGGAGGCTGAGCCAGAAACCTGAGAATTACCGGGAACCAGCTCTGTGACGGCCAAAGCGGTGCCAGTAGCACAAGCAGCCGAGCTGGCTGGGTGGACAGCTGGGAGAGGACCCGGGGAATGAGTGGTAACGGCGGGAACGCCCAGAGCACTTTGCCCGTCCAATCCAGCAGGAAGGCGTCGGCACTTGTCATGCCTGTCTGCTCGTGGTATACTCTGTCCGCAGACAGTACAACCGGAAAACGCCTGAAAGCAAACACGCAAGCATGTAGCTAACGGCGGAGCCAGCAGCATAAATATACACGTACAAAACATTGAAAATTACGTGAATGCGACCACGGGAAGAAATACTTGGTTAAAACGCAATATTACAACCACGTGGCACGCTAAACTTCCCGCCATGGAATAGCAACACGTGCGTAAACCATGGGAAAGTTAGTGTAAAATAATTTAATACAAAGTCACAATTATGAGACAACCGACCGCAAAGCTTTACTGTTCCATTCAAGGACAAAATAAATACCATACATACAGGTGGGGGAGTCCCAGACATTATTCTCTCTAATTTCTTATAACAGAAAGAGTTCAGCTCTACTCGACACATCCGTTCAGTGGAGTGACAGCAGAAGGAATGATGATACGGGCCTAGGTGCTTACCCAGTTGGCTGCGCATGCGCAACGGGAGGTAACTCCACGAGGTGGGGGCCGTATAATAAATAAAAAGATTTTATTTATTGTACAATATTTTTATTAAAAAACATTGATACAACTGTCACAGGACATTTTCAGCGCAGAAAATGCATATATGTACCCCAAGGACGATCTCTATGAAAAAGAACTCACAATTGATGATTGCTTCATTACCAACGAACAATCATCGAAAACAATTGGTTAGCATCATTTTTCAGATTTTCCTATCCAGGTTGTTATTGCAGATATGTATAAGATGATGCAACTTGCTACTTTAAAGTAATGACTAATATATCATGAACATAAACTTCCTTGAGTCTTCAAGAAATATTCAGTCATGACTTTTCAGTTAGTGAAGTGAGTTTTCTAAGAATTAAACCAGTTTGCAGGCCCCGACAACTTCGAAGATATGTTCCATCGTCAAGTGTTTCAAAGACTAAAACAGCAGTTCCAAAATCGTTTGTGTTCGATTATGAGAAAATGTGATCGATTGCTTGGTCGTTCAGTCACTGCGACCAATCTTCGATTATTTCAATTAATCGAAACACCACTATAAGCTATGGCATGTTTTCGTATATAATGCACATAATAATTAATGAAACAGTAGTAGACCAGCATTTGTGTATGTATTGCTTACTATATTTAAGATTCTTTTTTTTGTCAGATACCCTACAAGGCTAAATATGTTTTGGTATGACATGAAGCAGCATAGTGGCACATGTTACTGATATTGAAATTAGGACAAAACAATGTATAAATATCTTAAGATATTCGGTAAAAGTGTAGGACCTGGATGTGATTTTAATTGTTTCTCTTACACCAAGAACTCTATAAATTGTGAAAGAATAGAAATAATGAGTAGTTTGGACTGTTTGGTATTCTTCAATAAAATATTTGTTATGCAGATCAGGAGCAGGTATGTGGAAGTATATGGGATATTCTTTCTTGGGTTATCGCGCTAACAATCTTTATATTGGCAAAACCCTCAGATTAATGCTGTGACCTTGAAAATTATCTCAAGGTCACTCCATTTCACTTGTGTCGGTGAATCTCGCCAATATACCTTGGTACCAAATCAAGCTTATTTGATGTATGAAATGCAACGAAAAACAAACACCCGAGTATTTACGAGTGATTAAAACTGTTATTACAATTTACGTAAATATTTATTACATTTTACCGCAACGAAAATTATTACAATTTACGTCAATTTTTATTACAATTTGCGTATTACAATTCACGTCAATTTTTATTACAATTTACGTTTTTATTACAATTTACGTCAAGTTTATTACAAGTTGCTGCAAGTATTACAATTTGCGTTTTTATTCCAATTTACGTCGTATCAGGCCTTCTTAATTGGTGAGGGGCTGTGGGGTAGCCTAGTGGTTAAAGCGTTAACTCGTCACGCCAAAGACCGGGAATCGATTCCCCACATGGGTACAATGTGTGAAGCCCATTTCTGGTGTCCCCCGCCGTGATATTGCTGAAATATTGCTAAAAGCGGCATAAAACCAGCCTCACGTGCACTCACTGTTTATTGGTGAATCTTAACTGACTTGACTCCGTCATCAATTACCAAGGGATTAGGTCTTGGGACGTACAAAGAACAATCATTTACCACCACCCAGCAGTTATCTTGGAAATTTTTGTAAATCTCATATTTGTAAATGTCTTGTAAATGTGGACTGTTTTTGCAGTGGGGATTCCAAGCTTTTCAAATCCGGTCATACGTCAGATCTTTGCTGAAGCAGTAATCGGTGTCTATAGACGGTTCGCCAACAACTACCTCTTTCAGAAATTCGACAAGACACTGGTAAATGGATATATTAAATGCACCTATGAAAGTCTTTCAAAACTTTGATGACATTATCTCGTTGTAGCATTATTATAGCATTATTCATGTATGGATGTACTGTGCACCACTGTGAGTGGCTTTGGTGAATAAAACGAAAAACAGAACTTTATTTAAGTGGAGTGAGAAGGTATATTTAATTAGAAAAAACACAAGAGCATCTGTTTAAGTTGCAAATTGTCACCGAACGCTCATACACTAAACCTGAAGTACATTGACAGTAGTCTGTTATTTACTTAACACTCGAGGACTTCTACCAACACTTCAAACTTATCCATTCTGACCATAACGTTAGCAATCTAACAGTGGAGGAATTAAGTGAATATTTACCCAGTGACTGTTACGAAACTCTAAATACACCAATAACACTCGACGGAGTAAAGGCAGCTATAAACAATATAAAGAAAAAGAAATCACCAGGAAAAGATAAATTCTTACTGGAATTTGACCATTTGCTCGAAATAATGGATAATGATAGAGTAAGACTTTTCAACAAAATATTAGATTATATTAGACAATATTAGATGTTTCCCGAACATGTGGTCAGTTGGACTAATAGTACCAATTTACAAGAAAAACTCTATTGATGACGCAAATAACTCTTTTAAGCAGTTATGGTAGATTATTTACTCAAGTTCTAAATGCGAGATTAAGTAATGTTACAGATATGTTTAATATGATTTCTGATGCTCAGTTCGGAATTAACGCAGGTTTTAGTACGATAGATGCTATATTTATTTTAGATAGATTGATAGATCATGTGTTTAAGACAAAGGAGAAACTATTTTGTGCTTTTATTGATTACCAGAAGGCGTTTGATAGTGTCTATCGTAACGGACTGTGGCCTAAATTCATTAAGTTAGGTATAGGGGGAAGTTTCTCAACATATGCAGGGCCATGTATAAGGATGTTAAATCATGTGTTAGATATAATAATGAGCTTAGTGATGTTTTCACATAAGATACTGGTCTACGTCAAGGCGAATTTCTCTCTCCATTATTGTTTTCCTAATTCATAGTAGATCTTGAATAAAAGTTACAGGAAAATGTTACTTCCGGTATCGATATACACGATATAATGCTGTTTATACTTCTTTTCGCAGATGGTATGCTTCTCATAAGTAAATCTGCAACTGGTTTACAATCTAAACTTTATAGTTTAATACAATATTGCAATATTTGGGGCTTTTCTGTAAATATCGACAAGACTAAAGTAGTTACTTTCCAAAAGTAATATATTTTATCAAAGCAGGTTTTCTATTATGGTAATGTACTCCTTGAAAGTGTTGCTGAATTCAATTATTCAGGTTTATTATTTAAATCTAATGGAAAATTGTCACCAGCTATTAACATATTATCGGATAGGGGCCTGAAGGCGTGAAATGCTTTACTCAGAGAAGTTAGGACCAATAAGATAAATGTGAAAGTAGCGTTAGAATTATTTGATGGAAACAGGCAGTATATATTGAAAGAGTTCATCGTAGATTTTGTGAAAATATTCTCGTTGTTAAAAGTAGTACAAGTAATTTATTAGTGTACGGTGAACTCGGAAGATTCCCACTTGGCATACAGCGTGAATTACAGATGGTACAGATTTGGTTTAAGGTTGTACAATCAGAGAATTGCATTATGAGGGAAGTGTATTCTAATTTAGATGAAAGATCTGGCTGATACTGTAAAGAAAAAGATATCTTAATGAGCAACGGTTTTTATTATGCATGGCTGTCCCCCTTAGAGGTAAATGTTCCAGTTTTCATGTCTTTATTAAAACAACGACTACAAGATAAATGTATTACTTATTGGTAACAGGAGATGACTGACTGACTGACTGAGTTTGGTTTTACGCCGCTTTTAGCAATATTCCAGCAATATCACGGCGGGGGAAACCAGAAATGAACTTAACACATTGTGCCCATGTGGGGAATCGAACCCGGGTCTTCGGCGTGACGAGCCAACGCTTTAACCACTAGGATACCCCACCGCCCCTACCAGGAGATGAGGAATTCCACTACTTATATGTTATTTACTCACTGACTGAGTTTGGTTTTACGCCTCTTTTAGCAATATTCCAGCAATATCACGGCGGGGACACCAGAAATGGACTTCACTCATTGTACCCATGTGGGGATTCGAACCCGGGTCTTCGGCGTGACGAGCCAACGCTTTAACCACTAGACTACCCCACCGCCCCTATATGTTATTTAAACAACTTAAGGGCTTTGAAATGTATTTAGTTAATCTTTTAAATTGTAACCACAGGTCTGCATTATGAAAATTAAGATTGTCATCTCATACATCATTAATTGAAACTGGTAGACATGGTAGCAATAAAATCCCAAGAGATGAAAGAATTTGTACTAACTGTAATCTTAATGACATAGAAGACGAAATTCACTTTTTACTCAAGTGTCCATCGTATACTCCTAAGATCTATCTATTTAAAGAAATATTACTGTAAAGATTATTCAGTTTATAAATGTGTACAGTTATTATCATCAGAAAATATTACTACTCAACGCTCAACGTAGATATGTGTATGAAGCATTCCGTGTAAGAAAAACTTTTTACTTATTAATAATGTCATCCTCACCATCCAACATAATTATTATCTACATTGTATTGAGGCCCATATGACTTGCCGCAATAAAATCTGTCTGTCTGTCTATTTAATGTTGAATTATAATGAAGCCACATGTGCCCAAATTATAGAGTGTTCACGCTTATCCTGTTTTCCTTGTAATTTTTGTGAGTCGTGCTATGTTCTTTCAGCCAAAATTGCAAGTAAAGTGAACGCTACGCTCATTCAACCGAGAAGCGTCCCGGCCATGGACCTTCCACCTAAGAGTAACGTTACTTCCCTCTTTAACGGGTTGAATAAGCGGAATTATGGAAAATTAAACTGAGAGTATTTTAATGGCATGGTTATGTTGTTGATCAGCAATGTGTAATGATACCAGTTGTCGAACCAGAGACGAGACGAGGAAACAACTACACAGAAGCCCACGACAACGGAGGAAGCAGCAACAACGGAGGAAGCAACGACAACGGAGGAAGCAACGACAACGGAGGAAGCACCAACAACGGAGGAGCCAAACTAACCTCCAAGAAGACTCTAGATGCTTGTTATGTGCGAAAATAGGACAAACCAATCAGAACGCGCGTAATGATTGTGGTGCTTTGATAAAAATAATCCCGAAGACTTAAATCGCATTATGTCATTGTTTACAAATCTTGAAAAATATGTATCGTCATATTAAAAGTACAAGGAACGTAGCTAACACAATTGTTTTGGCTTGTGTGTAGTTTATAGTTAGGATAATGCCAAATAAGGTGAGAGATTCAAATTCACGCACGTGCGTTTAATTACATAACGGCTCTCATGGGTCCATTTGAGTGTATTTCTGACGATCTTGCGAGCATGTTTTAGGAAATATGATTATTAATCGATAAGAGTTGCAAAACAATATTGTACCTAAATAAAACTAAACAGCTTAAATCTTTTACATTGGGCTTATATTTCTCATTTCTAGGAATATTTTAGTATGACGTTTTTGCGGTCATTCATATTTTGTTCAGCGTATTCAGTGACACGAATGTACAGTTTGAGAAATATTTTTAAGGTAATCTTTGAGTATTTGCTTTGGGATTTGATGTAGTTGAATTTTTAAATTTTTATTTACATATTCAATAAAACAAATCCCATTTGTGATTTTTAAACCCTACATAGACATGTAAATTGGAAATATAAGGTGAACAGCTGGTAAATTAATGTTTGATTGTGTCTTTAACAAATAGTTTTCTCTCCTCCTTTTAGTTGTTTCAAGGGGGTTTAATTCTTTGACATAAAAAATTCCCCAGAAAACAAAAATATTAATACAATGCACGACTGCCACGGTGATATAAAGTACCATTGGAAGCAAACAGGAATAGAGTTATCGTTCTTGTTTAAAGTAGTTCCTATGTTCCATTGGTGACCAACTCGTGTTATTCCGGGACAAGCAAATAGCGACTCGTGCCCATCTGGAAGGATTTCATATTGGCGTAGGAACATCAGAACTACTTCAAACAGGAACGATAACTCTATTCCTGTTTGATTCCAATGGTACTTAAAAAACCCGAAGTGCTCATATATTGTATTGCTGTTTTTGTTTTTGCTTATTCATTTTAAAGAATTAAAGCTCCTTGATACAACTAGTTCAAGGAGAAAAAACATATTTGCTAAAGACATATTCTGACGTAATTATTACTAGATGTTACTATTATTACCTTATATTTCCAATTATATTTCTCAAAAGGGTTTAATAATCACAAATGGGATTTGCATTATTGAATATACAAATAAAATGTATTTTAAAAACCCAGCTACATTAAATCCTTAAGTAGAAACTCAAAAATAACTTCAAAATATTTCTCAAACTGAACATTTGTGTAACCAAGGTGTCATACCTCAAGTAGAATTTTAAATGAATTCGCTGAAAAATATATGAGTGCCCAAAAAGAGTCAGACTAAAATATTCCCAGAGATATGAAATATATGCCCAATGTTAAAGATTAACGTTGATTAGTTACATACAGATTATTGTTCTGAAACACGTAGCGATTTATAATTACATTTCTAATACTGTTGGAAGCGTACATACAATCACAAGCACAAGCCCACAAGATCTTTAGAAATACACTCAGTTGGACCAGTTTAGAGCCGTTATGTCAACAAACGCACGTTCGTGTATTTGAATCTCTCACTGTCAATCGCATGATTCTTATCAAAAACTTCACATTAGACAGCACAATCCTGTTATCTACGTTCTTTGTACTTTCAATATGACGATATATATTTTTCATGATTTTTTAAACAATGCCATAATGCCATAAACGATTTAAGTAGTCGGGATTATTTTTACCAAAGCACCGCCATTTACGCGCGTTCTGATTGGTTTGTCGTATTTTCACACACAACAAGCATCGAGAAGGGGACGAGTCTTCTTGCAGGTTACGGAAAGGGGCGAGTCGTGACGAATGGGCTCTCATGGGTCCAAATGAGTGTATTCCTGACAATCTTGCGGACTTGTTTTTGAGATTGTACGTGCGCTCCCCAACATTTTTAGGAAATATGATTTATATATTTAATAATCGCACACGGGTGTGTGTGTGTGGAAGGTGGAGGTGTTTTCACGTGAGTTTCAATGGTCATTTAATAAACGTTCAGGACAAAGGGAGTAGGGGTAGGGGTCTGGATCCGCCTAAGTGTTGGTTGTTTGGTGTGATTTGACAGGGAATGTGACGAACTTAAACAGGATAAATACAGAAAGTTGAACTTATTTCGCAGATATAATTGTAAGGAAAATCTGCAAACATATGTGGAAGCTAGAAATAAATTTAAATCAACATGTGCTAAGAAAAAGGGAATTCTAGGAAAACAGTTGTCAGATGACTTGTGCCAGGCTGCTAGATCTGGTGACTGCAAGAAATTTTGGAACATTTTAAAACGCTCTCTTCGAAGAAAAAACGAACATTCTCCACTATCAGCTGATGTGTTTATTGACTATTTTAAATCACTTTTAAATCCTAATAAGCCTAAAGAAGATGAAGCATTTGATTCTAACGTTAATAATTTCATAGCTGAACATTCATGTGATGATTGTGTATCCTAAAGTGGCATAGATCAGTTACTGTCTGATCCTATCTCTGATTTAGAAATTACTGAGGTTATTAAGAAGTTGAAAATTGGAAAATCCCCCGGAGATGATGGAATTCCTCCTGAATTCTTCAAGTTAGGACACTCATCATTGTTGCGTTTTCTAAATCCATTGTTTAACTCAATATTGAATACTGGCATATTTCCTGAATCCTGGAACTCTGCATTAATTATGCCATTATTTAAATCAGGACTTACAGCTGATCCCAACAATTATAGGGGTATATCGCTTTTAAATGTATCAGGAAAAATATTCACATCCATCCTAGATAAACGTCTTCGTGCATGGACTGATCTGAATGATATATTAACAGAAGCTCAAGCTGGCTTCAGACCCGGCTATTCCACAGTGGACAATATATTTACTCTGCAAACTCTCTGTTCTAAATATCTCTCAAGACCAAAGGGACGATTTTTGTGTGCCTTTGTTGATTTTAGAAAGGCTTTCGATTATGTAGATCGTTCAAAACTTTTATATATGTTGTTAAAATCAGGTTGCCATGGAAAAATGTACAATCTTCTGCATAATATGTATTCATCTGTTAGATCTTGTGTAAAAATTGGAAATTGCAAAACTGATATGTTTTTCACTAGTTCAGGTGTACGGCAAGGATGCATTTTAAGTCCGCTTCTATTTATTCTTTTCATTAACGAACTTGCCGCAGAAATTCATAATAAATGTAAACATGGTGTTTTATATCTCCAGATATTGAGGATATTATGATGTTATTATTTGCAGATGATGTTAATATGTTCTCTTATACTATCATTGGTCTCCAGCAACAGTTAAATGTTCTTCATGAATTTTGCACGAGATGGGGTTTAAGTGTGAATTTAGAAAAAACAAATGTTATTGTCTTTAGAAATGGCGGTGTTTTAAAAAAGGAAGAAAAATGGTACTATGGAAATGTAAAACTTAATTGTGTTTCATATTATAAAATATCTTGGATTGATATTTTCCTCAAGGTTGAATTGGGCAACAGCGTGTAAAAGTTTGGCAACACAAGCATCTAAGGCAGCCTACTCTGTTTATAATTTATTCAAAACTAACTCTTTTATCTCTTTCCAAAATGCTTGTACCATCTTTGATTGTAAAATAATGCCTATTCTTTTATATGGATCAGAAATTTGGGGTATGGCGTATTTTCACTGTATAGAAAAGGTACAAACTACATTTTTAAAACAATTTCTAAATCTAGGTAAATTTGCTTCTAATAAGGCTATATATGGAGAAACTGGTAGATGTAATATGTTTGTGTTCAGCAGAATAAGAGCAGTTAAATATTGGTTAAAGTTGGTAAAATGCATTATTTAAGGTATCCTAAACAGTGTTATCTTTTTTGGTTGAAAACGTGATCAAATGGTATTTAATTCCTGGAAATTCTCTGCGTATTAATACATACAAAATTACAAGATGATATTGACGTCATTAAAGTTAATTGGGTGTCTAACGTTAGATTATGGGAGACAGCCGAAACTCTTTTCTACTGGATTTTCCTATGTATGGCTTGCCCAATGGGTTGGCAATGATAGACCTGTTTTATATCTCTTTTCAAACAGCGCCTATGTGACTATATTTTCATTCAAGAGTGGTCTATGTCCATTAGTACTTCTAGATATTTAGAATATTATGCCTCTCATAAGTCATAAGTAGTTGCTAGAACAGAATTGTATATTTTAAATTTTCATGATAAATCTTTGATAAGAGCTTTATGTAAGTTAAGAATTGGTTTTCATGATTTCTGTGTAAATAGGGCACGTAAACATGGTATTTCTACAGAATGTAAAAGTGATTTGATCTGTTCTAATTGTAATACAGGCGCTATAGAGGATGAGTTCCATGTCATGTTTGTATGCACCCAGTATCTAAGTTTGCGAAAAAAGTATATGCCATTTCTTTCACACACTGTTATAGATAAACATTCACTGTCAAATTTGTTAAATTCTAAGAATATTATGACCATTAAGTCTGTAGCAATGTATCTCAAACATGTTTTACTGTGCGTAGCCATAAATGTAACCATGTATGAAACCATATGTTCACGTGACTTGCAAAGTATTCTGTAACAACATTAATATTGCTTATCAATGAAAGATTCCTGCGTCGAGTTGACATCATGAAAATCAGTCGGCATTTGGTTATTGAAAGCTTTCAATATACACATACATTTCTGGTAGTTCAGGGTAGGGTCACGATCGCCGATAAACGACCTCGCCAATGGGTTAGATAAGGGGCGTAAAGGACAGGTTTTCAACAGTCTCCCTCGGGACTGACAAGGCTTTACAATGCTGGCAGCTGCTCTCGTGATTCTAGGCGTGGTCGGAGGGGCGTGGGGCCATGGGTATATGTATGACCCCCCGGGACGATCAACGATGTGGAGATGGGGGTTCAAGGTGCCAATCAACTACAACGATAACGCGCTCAACTGTGGTGGATACTCTGTAAGTATTAGTGTGAATGAGTGAAATTGTGTTATTGCCGCTTTTAGCAAAAAAAATCATGGCGGAGGACGTCTAGATTCAGCTGCAAATGTTGTTCTTATGGCAGGATCTAACCGGGGGTTATGGGTTTGAAGCGAGTGCATGCTTTAACCAGTTAGCTAGTCACCGCCACTGTAAATCTCAGTATTTTATGGGGGCGGTGGGGTAGCCTAGTGGTTAAAGCGTCCGCTCGTGATGCCGAAGACCCGGGTTGGATTCCCCGACATGTGTACAATGAGTAAAGCCCATTTCTGGTGTCCCCCACCATATTGCTGGAATATTGCTAAATGCGGCGTAAAACCAAACTCACTCACTCAGTATATATGAGAAGACAATGAGCACTGTACCCCGCTAAAGTTGACATTAGGAACTTCACTCTGACCGTGTGGTTATATATTCAAATTAGCGAGGTTAAAATATCTGCTGATAACCAAGATCTCTACTGAAAACATGGCTTATCTCCTCTATTAATTTGGTGAACCCCCTTGACCGGTTTCGGTCAAGGAACACCAAATATTTATCGCGAGGTATTGAAACAAGGACGAAAAAGTACCGCCCTGTATAACGCACTCGCTTGGTTCGAATAAAAATGTGTTGTAAAATTATATCCCAGACACATTCAAAGGAACCTTTAGTTTTGTTAAGGTTATTAAAGTTTCGAGTGAGTGAGTGAGTGAGTGAGTGAGTGAGTGAGTGAGTTTAGTTATTAACACATTACACAGACAAAAAAAAAGATTTGTGGGGTTATTAAGAAGTTCCAACAGGCAAAATTTGATGGATGGGGCTTTTAAAAGGTTTCACAGGCAAAATGTGATGGACGGAGCTATTAAGAGTGAGAGTTTAGTTTTACGCATCTTTCAGCAATATTCCCGCAATATCACTGCCGGGGACACCAAACATGGGCTTCACACATTGTACCCATTGGGGAAATCGAACCCGGGTCTTCGGCGTGACGAGCGAACGCTTTACCCACTAGGCTACCCCACCGCCCCAGGTATTAAGAGGTTCCACTGGCAAAACGTAATGGATGGGGCTATTAAGAGGCTCCAGAGGCAAAATTTGCTGGGTGGGGCAGTTAAGAAGTTCCACAGGCAAAATTTGATAGGTGGGGGCTATAAAGAAGTTCCACAGGCAAGATTTGATGGGTGGGATTATTAAGAGTTTCAACAGTTTCAAATGTTTGGTTACAAGTATGAAGCTCTGAAGATCTTTAATTAATCACGATTTACATTCGTTTGCGTGTTGTTCAGGAAGTTTCTGTGTTCTGTTACTGATCGAGTCAATCTGACAACCCAGTAAATGACGCCTTGAACATTCATCTTTGCAGATAAATCTACAGACGTATATTTCATTCACGTTTCACCCCAGTAACATCATGCAGCAACAACAACTACTACTACACGCATGCAGACGAACGAGCGCGCGCGCGTACGCACGCACATACGCACACACGCACACACACTAATTACTTTGTACAAAGCCGATAAAGATAGTAACTCGAAGTAAAAATGAAGGTTTATGGCAGCGTCTTGCCTATTACTGTTCATATGTAGTGGGGGAGGCTTTTTTACAATTGTTCTCAAATTGAAACCTGTACAGAGTTGGTTTCATTTCAGCAATAGAATCATGTCTTTTTTATATAACCCGGCAGATGAGTATTGCATAACCTTCGTCCACAAATCGGGTGCAGTGACAATGCCATTCATCAAGCCCCCATCAATCGATGCTGACTACCCGATCAATTTAGCCACCTCTTACGACAAGTGTCATGTACAGTGAAGGTTGTGTGGGACTATTCCTTACACGTCTTTCATGCGATGCATTGAATACCGTTTTCTCCACATCGGACCTATGATGTTTCAGCGTAGCACAAATGAATCAATTCAATTCAAATGAATCACACAACAAACTATTGTTAAGACCGAGCGACCAAATACAACACTGTTCAATGTAAAAAGAGTTGAATGTGGCTTTTTGCCCTTATATTTCAAAATGTCATAAAGTGTTTCGAACTGAAACTAGGTGTTGACATATCTGAGATGTCATGTTATCTGTTTGGCTGAGTGTCCGCCTCTGGGAGGTGTGATAAAAACTGGTTTGTGAGGACTGTTGTTCCTCTCAACCACAGAATGCAGATAGTGCTTAATCCTAAACATAACGGGATCAGTCACACGGAATAATACTCAGATGGAAAAGAAAGATAACTATGTTTGGTTTGGTTTAACTCGGCACTCATGAATCTAACGCGAATGACGCTGTTGCTTTTTATCAACTACAGGCGCAAACAATGAAACAATGAATTTCAATTATCATTTTATTTGCAAGCATTTTATGGGACAATTATTGATATATTTCTATCCGTTAAAACCCGTAAAGACCCGTGATTGTTAACCCGAAGCTGCAACTAACGGGATGGGATGGTCAGACTCTCTGACTTGCATAAAACATATTATCGTATCCCAGTTGCGTAGAACGATGCTTATGCTGTTGATCACTGGATTGTCTGGTCCAGATTCGATTATTTACAGACCGCAACCATATAGCTGGAATATTGCTGAGTGCGGCGTTAAATAACAAACAAACACACCTATCTATCGGTCAAGTCATTTTGTGCAGCAGAGGTTGATGAGACCTAATATCTGTCCTGAACTTCGAAATACCATGGGAATAAAACATCTTAAGTGTAAATACTTCGGGAGATAACTAGGTATCGCCATCATTACTTTGACCTCTATGAAATGTATATGCTAATTCATGAATTACCTCCAGAACCTCTGGTTTGCCGAGCACGGACAATGTGGAGTCTGCGGAGATCCCTATGAACAAGCCCCTCCTCGCGACAACGAAGCTGGCGGAAGATACGGGCTTGGGGTTATAGCCAGAGGGTACAAGACCGGGCAGGATCTCCCTATCACTATTGAGATCACTGCCAACCACGAGGGATACTTCGAGTTCCGGCTTTGCAAGAATGACGACGTCAAGAAGGTTGTCACTCAGGCATGTTTAGACCAGAACCTCCTTCAGCTGAAGAACGCCAACGGCACGAGGTATTATCTCCAAAGATCTCAGTACGGGAAACTTTACCTCACTGCGTCACTTCCGGTCGGATTAACGTGCTCCCAGTGTGTTCTTCAATGGAAATGGGTTGCAGGTAATATATATATGCGACAAAGGAGTGTAGTTTTAAGCTGCTGTCATGATAAGATTTTACTTCACTTGTGCCCATATGTCGAACCAAGCCTTGGCGTTATGTGCCAATGCATAAACCAGAAGAAAATGGTGATTTTGAATTTCAGTCACTGACTGAAAACACGATAGAAGCCTCCTTAAGATATCATTTGGTACTCCATAGGGAGGGTTATTTGAATGTGACACGTGAACATATCTGATTAACTGCTTCAATCCAAATATTATCAAACAATGTTCCCAGGCAACACGAGCATGTTCAACTTCATTTAAAGCTACTATAAATAAGCACACAATTCAACTACGCCAACTGCCATGTAACACCCTTGAAGATCCGGGTTAGAATCCGGGTCTTCAGCAGCCTATGTTTGTCGTTAGAGGCGACTAACGGGATCACAATGCGTGAAGCCCATTTCTGGTGTCCCCTGTCGTGATATTGCTGAAATATTGCTAAAAGCGGCGTAAAACTAAACTCACTCACTCACTCATTATCGTTGTAGGAACGTTGACGGTATCGCTATGTTGTAGGCAACAACGAGGGTCGTGATGGCAGCGGCCACGAGTGCCGGGGATGCGGACCACAGGAAGAGTTCTTCAGCTGCTCCGACATTTGCATCGGCAACTGTGGTGGGTCCGGGACACCCGTCCCCGTGACCATTCGGCCCCAGACACCCGCCAACACCCTCCCTCCACAGACTGTGAGACCCACCCAGTCCCATGTCGACACTTCCAGACCTACCTTCAGGCCCACTGTCGTGACACAGCCACCGACGGTTAATACCCCTAACTATGGCGTCTTCAGGACGTGTCACGGAGTCAACAACTTGGCAGGCCTTGACCAGCTTGACCAATGGTGCAAGTCCAATTGTCAGAAAGGAAACTGCCCAGCAGCCGTATGCGATTGTCCGGACGCATTTGGTCCAAGATCAACAGAGGGTAGGAAGACAACTGCACGCCCCGTCACCACACCGGTACACACGCCACAGGTCACGGTTCCTTCCGTGGGACATATTCCAGCGATATTCCATTCCTGCCACGGTGTCAATCTTTGGGCAGGATTTCCAGCCCTGGATACATGGTGTATGGAGAACTGCGCTAAGGGTAACTGTCCATCTGTCCAGTGCGACTGCCCCGATGCATGGGGACCTCGAACCTTACCTCCTGCAACGGCACGACCACCGGTTAGACCAAACCCGACGTTGTTCACCATGCCCTCAACTCAAAGAACGCCAGCCCCTACCCCCGCCCCGACCCTTAAACCGCTGCTGACTCCAGGGCAACACCCCTTCCTCACTAACAGTCCTTGGGTACCAATCCAGGCTACCCCGTCCCGCCCTCCCGCCACGGCTGGAAACGTCGACTCCAGCAGATGCCACGCCATCAACAACTGGCGGGGGATTCCCCAGCTGAACGACTGGTGCAGGCTCAGCTGCAGGCAGAGTTATTGCCCGGATGTGTATTGTCGATGTTATTAATATAGTCTGTTTCATTGTATGAATCATAGACATCTTACGCCGAGGCCTTTTCAAAGCAAACTGAAATAAAACCTAAGAATAACGGACTTTGAATCGAGCTGTGGTTTTCTATTATTGTACGGTGAAGCGCTTTTCATTTGGACCTCGTTAGCCCAGAAATACCTTTTCCCCTCCAACGCGATTCAACTCTATCTTCAGACATGTTTATCCCTGAAGATAAAATGGAAACGCGAAGGAAGGAAATTCGTGTTTTATTATATTGACATCCGGATTTCTTTATATACTACTGTACACTGCTGAACTTCACTTCTTTATCAATTTATATACATACATAAATATTGTGCATATTCTCACTCACACACATGCTAACATATTACAAAACACACATGGGTCCATTATGTAATTAAGCTTTCTAGCACTATTTCTTTGCCCTTTTTTAACACATTGCTCACACACGCGTCATAGTGAAGCATTATGGTAGCCTTTAAGCTTTGCACTCTCTACAAAGCCGAGCAGGTATTCAGTGTCATACATACATGTTGATCAGCTCAGTTGAGTGCAAATCATGTAAACGTTCCCCCATGACTGAATGAAGCGATCGGGATATAGTTGTGTGACATTTCACCAATAAACAGGAGAATTTACAAGACAACAGACCTCCCATCTTCGTTTTACTCAATAAAATATTTACTCACTTTTTAAAGTTTTAACTCGGAATCACAAAAGGTCAAGGTACAAACTTTGCAAGGAGTATAATCTAGATTGGTCACAATCATAATTTAATCTGTTATGGATCAAATTTGATGTTGATCAAGAATCTAATCCAGACAATAATCATTCTGACAAGGTTGGGAAATTTTAGCGAGAGATGAAAACTTGGGAACCAAGACTGCTAACACCTTTGGGAAGAAATGTTGTGTTGAAATCATTATTACTGTCCAAATTAAATTATCTCTACTCATCTATACCAAGCGCATCTAATGACATGATTACATCTTTTCAGAAGAAATGCTTTCATTTTATTTGTAAGGGCAAGAAGGATAAACTTAAAATAAAGGTTGCTACCACCACTGCTGAATATGTATGTTTCAATATTCCAATAGTAATAAAATATTATAAAATTCCCAAAACCTGCATGGATTAAAAGACTGCTGTGTGACAATTCTACATGGATGGAAAATGCTTCACGGTGTATTCCAAATATTCATAGATTATGGCTTGCTGATGGTGTTTAAATACTCATGCCAATAATGGTTGTCACCCCCTTCAATTTTTTATTGGAGAGGGTGTGTGGGGGTGGGGTGTGGTTTTGGTTGGGGTGGGGAGGGGTGTGACAACCATTATTGGCATGAGTATATTAGATGTATGTTACCCAATGTTTCAAATAGATTCTGGAGGGATGTTGTGGAGGCATTGTCTGACTATCTAAAAAAATTTGCTATCAGAATGAAGCTCATAGTACAGATGTCCTAAATCAATCACTCTGTGGCACAACAACAATATTTTGATTGGCGGCAGAACAGTCTATCACAGAAACCTTGGAGAAAAGGGAATAACACACTTGAGAAATACAGTAAACGATAACGGTAATATATTATCTTTGAAAAAAACTGAATTATAAATATGATATAGATGTTGATTTTCTTTCATGCTTAAAAGAGTAATAATTGAATATATAAAAAGAGAAATTTCACTTTTAAACATGTGCAAAACATACTTACCTGCCCTATTTTACCCTTTAATATTTCCAAAATAGCTAGTAGTAAACATTTTTATAAAACACTATGTCAATTTTGATTTAATAAAACAAATGGCCAATTTCTTTAAATTGGAAGAAATATTTGATAGAGACTTCCAACAGAACGAATGGGAATTATTGATTTGATGGCAAATCGATGTACTCAAAGCGTTAATCTAAAATGGTTTCAGTACAAGTTAATTCAGGATATTTTGACAACGAATAATCACTTGCACAAGATTGGATACATTAATGCATTGTGTGTTCGTTTTGTAAACATGTGCCCGAGACTGTTATACATTTATTATGTGATTGTACTCATCCCAAAAAGTGTGGAAAGAGTTAGCTAAATGATTAGGAAAGTTGGCTGAAGGATACATTGATTTAACACCAGAAGATATTATTTTGGTTTCACGGGGAGAAGTAATAACCCACTTAATGCCATCTGTCTAATGGTGAAACAAAATATCTACAATATGATCAGAAAAGAGAAAAAACAATTTTAAAAGCATCCAAAAAGAAATATGAAGTTACTTTCAGTCATGCAAATGCATTTCTTGTACAAACAATAACCAGTCCAAATTCTTCGCATTTCCACACACTATTTTTAGGTTTGTGAGCTCAATATTCACTTGTAAACTTCAAAGAGTATAATGTAATGTAAGAAATGACTTATGCCTTGCAGGTTATTAGATACAGTCGATACAACATGAACAGTACTTTGTATCTACGTATACCTATGTATATGTAAACATCTGCTGGAAAATAGTGGGTAATGTAAAAATGACTTATGCCCTATGGCTATCAGATATAGTCAAACTGACTGACTGAGTTTTGTTTTACGCCGCTTTTAGCAATATTCCAGCAATATCACGGCGGGGGACACCAGAAATGGGCTTCACTCATTGTACCCATGTGGGGATTCGAACCCGGGGCTTCGGCGCGACGAGCCAACGCTTTAACCACTAGACTACCCCACCGCCCAGATATAGTCAAACCTATATTAGCTGCACTTCATATATAATATGAACAATATTATCAACCTATGCATACTTATGCCCATGTTAACATATGAAAAAAAATAAACATATAATTAAAATACGCACGCACGCACGCACGCACGCACGCACGCACGCACGCACGCACGCACGCACGCACGCACGCACGCACGCACGCACGCACGCACGCACACACACACAAAGAGCCGCAACTAGATGGAACGTCAGCAAGGCTCATCACCTGGTAGGATATCCTCACCAGACAGGGTGGCGGTACAAATGTGGAGTTTCTAATTTTACAACGAAACCCAGCTTTCCGTGCGGTGGACAAAGCTCTTCAAGCGTTCGTAAAAGGACTTAGAATCGTTCGTGTTGATTCTGATTTCATATTTTTGAAAGCAACTAGAAAAATGGATGCATTAGGCAATCTTTCCTAAGGTATGGACCGAACCAGGAACGGGTTATATCCCCGACTACGTCATAGTTGCACCATAGTTCCAAACGACAATCATCAAAGTGAGTGAGTGAGTTTAGTTTTACGCCGCTTTTAGCAATATTCCAGCCATATCACGGCGGGGGACACTAGATATGGGCTTCACACATTGTACCCATGTGAGGAATTGAACCCGTGCGTGACGAGTGAACGATTTAACCACAAGGCTACTCCACCGCCCCTCAATCATCATAGAATAAACATGTGGACATCAGTGTGTTATATACGCTAAACACTCAAATAATGATTCTCCACAATTACCAGTGATTTGTATGAGTACATCATTAAATGCAATCGCCTTATTATTTGAAGTGCATTTATTTGGATACGATGAAATATTAACTTGAAGTTTTAAAGAGAGTGTGCACCTGATATTTCGATTGTATAGACGACACTGTGAATGTTTAGATATATATTTTTTCTCACACACCCTGAACCATATCGTTTCCCTTTCTACCTAGCCTTACTGTAATGCTAAATCCCAAACGAAGCAAGTCCAAAATATTAAACCTCACTGGAACGCCTTTTCAATTTAAATGTGTTTCTTTGTTTTTATCAAAATTATGAATGAATAAATATCCTTTCAGAAAGTATGCGCCAGTCAAGGCTGCAATAATAATGTTTTACATCAACATTTCAACACGAATAGGCTATCATAAACGCCTTAATTATATCAATATACCCCGTGGAATATATACAATGTCATCAATACGTGTTTAATCTTTACTATACGTCACTTGAGATTTACCGCTCAACGCATGAGTAGTTTACAAACCTGCTTCATCACGTTTGAACTCAACGCCGCATGGGGCCAAACACAACGTCATTTGCTCTCAGCGGCGCCACGGCTGACCGATTGAACACCTTTCCAGCACAATATGTTCCCGATTTCATTTGACGTCGATTGTCATACTTCTATCTGTGTTCTCTTAGTGTACAGGTCGTCACGGCTACCGAGTAAATGTTATTCCCGGCACTCTATATGTTGGGTGTGTGTGGAATGTTAAGTGCCCAAATGCGCAGTGACGCATTTTAGTACATAACACAAATGACGAATGCTTGGGTCACGTACAGACAAACGAGATTGACTTCTTTGCGTGACATTCAGAAGTTGATATGATGAACAAGGGAGAGGGTTCTATGGATATGCGGCTTCTGCATGGCAACGTTTCATTGTAGATGTAAACAGCTGTGCTCGTTTGATAACAGTCTTAGCATCTACACCGAAACGTCGCATATATTGTAACAAATCTCCCTTATCGAGTTTGAACATGTCACGCACTCAGTAAATAATTTGTTTTGATTATTTTGAATTATCATACGTTTATTCAGGTTCTATATGGTCTCCGGGGGGAAAAACGCATAGTTCGAATTAACGGTAATCGAATGTCGAATTATCAGTAGTTTGACATTAACGAACAATGAGTGAATTTAGTTATACGCCGCTTTTAGTAATATTCCAGCAAAATCACGGCGGGGCACATCACAAGTTGGTTTCACTATGTGGGGAATCGAACCTGGGTCTTCGGCGTGACGAGCGAAAGCTACGGCTCCTTAACGAAGAGTAGAAATTACGACTTACGACTGTTTCCAGACCGACAGTGAAATCCTTATAAACGATACATCGATACATCGGAATTCGACTTTCGAGATTAAATTTTCTCCTAACACAAAACTGATTTTTATAATTAGAACCATACTAGCCACCCACTTCCAGAAAATAGTTTAGAATTAGTTCATCCACAATAAACAAAGTTGAATTTCAAACAAAACATAGCCAGCAATCAAAAAAAAACATATCTGAATTTCTGGTATTTCCTTTCCTGCGAAATTACAGTTACA